AAATATCATTAATAGCTAATCCGACATCTGTGATTAAATTTCATAAACCACTTCAGCAAAAGGAAAATCATATAATAGATGGGTATGCTTCCAATATATCTCGTTGTGTCAGTGCGAGCGATCAAAAGATATCCGGATTAAAAAGTCATGATTGCCATATTCTTTTACAACGAATACTTCCAGTTGGGATTCGTGGTTCTTTGAATAAAGATGTTTGTGATGTATTGGCTGAGTTAGGTCATCTTTTTCAACGTTTATGCAGTAGGAAGTTGAAAAAAAAAATGATTTGGAGAAAATGGAAAGTCATATTTGCTTGATATTGTGTAAACTGGAAAAGATATTCCCTCCTACATTCTTTGACATCATGGTTCATTTGCCTATCCATTTACCACGCGAGGCATTGATAGGTGGTCCAGTTCAATTTAGATGGATGTATTCGATTGAAAGGTAAATCTACTAAACTGTCAAATTCTTATATATTACTTGTCTGTGTTATATTTTTAATAATGTTGATTTATCTTGTAAGTTCTTATGCGACTTGAAGCAGGGTGTAACCAATAAAGCTCATCCAGAAGGATTAACTGCAGAAGCGTACATTGCAAAAGAGTCTTTAACTTTTTGCTCCATGTACTTGAAAGGAATTGAGACTAGATTTAATCGAGATGATAGAAATTGTGATATAATTATTGATGATAGTCTTTCAATCTTCTCTAAAAAAGGTCGCCACTTTGGAGCGGCAAAACTTGTTGAATTATCAGAGGAAAAATTCAACACGTTGCAGTGGTTTGTCTTACAGAATTGTGAAGAGGTTCAACCTTATTTTGAGTAAGTATAAATTATAGTTTAAATATTCAAATATTATTATACAATTTGATTTAAAAATATGAATGTTCATTGCAGGAAGCACAAGAAGGATCTAATGTTGGATAGATGTGAAAACATAAATCAAGAACATAAAGAACAATTTCCTGCATAGTTCAAATAAAATGTAAGGGCATTATCATTTCAAATACAAATATCACATCATAATACTTGTTATTAGGCTTTCATTTATATGAACTTCTTACTGATAGTTTTTATTGTAAATATACAGATGAGTCATTTGTATCAAGAGGAACCAACGAAAGAAAATGAATCTTTGTATTCACTTTCATGTGCACCATACAGATGTGTTAGAAAGTATCCTGGATGCATTATCAATGGGGTAAGATTTATGACAAAAGATCGTGATAGTCGTCGTAAAACCCAAAATAGTGGAATCGTTGTTGAGGGTAACCATGGCGAAGATCTAATTGAATTTTATGGTGTTATATCTGATATAATTCTACTTGACTATGTGAAAGGTAGACATGTCACCATATTCAAGTGTGAATGGTTTGATGTTGGGAATAGAAGACAAACAGGCTTACGAAAAGAGGTAAATATGGTGAGTGTTAGGATTACTAAGAATTGGTACGAGAACGACCCTTTTATACTTAATAATCAAGCTAGGCAGGTTTTCTATATTAATGACCCTAAATTAGGACATGATTGGCGGGTAGTACAACCTTTCCAACATAGACATGTTTATGATGTCGATGAGATTCAGGTTGAAGAAATAAATGCTGATGACTTTTTCTCTGTGGAAGATGGGGTGTACCAAGAGAATGAGACAAATGATGCATTTGAAGTTAGTCTTGGTGAAGTACAATCACTAAGTAGGACTGGAGATATTGATGAGTCGACAATTGTAAAACTACTCGAAGTTGCAGAGGTTGAAAATATAGATGACCTCAATGAGGAAGACGAGCTAGACGACACTATGGTTGATTATTGGTGTAGTGAAGAAGATTCTGAGCAAAGCAACACTTCTGATAATGAAGGCGATGATGATGATTGGGAAGGTCGATAATTGACTGGTAACATAATCTTTTATCATATTATTCTATACCATTGTGAAAATTGTGTTTCATTGGCAATAATTAAAAAATATATTTTGTTTTTATTTATGTTTATGTTGCTAGGGAGTGAATGTTAATCAGCTTTACACTAGATCACTTCTTGCTGCCATCTGTTTCTATGCATATCAACAGGTAAGCATTGAAATATAAGCTACTTTCATATATTTCAAGTGCGCATTCATGAGGATTTTGTTTTAAGTTGGTTGAATTTTCTGTGAATGGATTGAATTTTTTGAAGTTGTCAGGTCTAGAACTCTTGAAGCTGCCAAGTGGTCTGGGGGAGGAACGACATCTGGTGGATCATCTTCATCCTTGCGGTTTTGTCTCCAACTAGCAGTGTCTATTTTGATTTAGTGAAGCTTTTTTGATGGTTTTCTGTTGTTGAGGTTGGTTGTTACTGTTATGTTGAAATTTTTGTCTCTATAGTGTTGCTACATTGCTACTAGTTATCTAGTTTTTAGTTTTTTGGCTTACCTTGGTGTGAAGTGGATTTATTTTTCAGTTTTTTGGCCTGGAGTTTCATTACTTGGTGTGTAGTGTAATTCCAGGGTTATTATCTTGATGTTTTTCAAACCTGTTATATTCACTAAATCAACAAGATCCTTCCTCAAAAGGCGTCTTTGGGTTCAGGAGCAGCTCCCCACTTTGATAAGCTTCCACCTCCCGCGGGTCGATCTACAGTGTTCTGTTCTTCTAGTTGGTTATGAACTTATGAATAAAAGCATCGTTTGTTGAGTTTGCCATTTCATATACAGTTGATTGTCAGATGTATTAGTTGAGTTTGTTTAGCGTTAAACTATACGTTTCGAGAAAAAAAAATGAAGAATTAATATCTGTTTTAGCAGTAGACTTTACTTTGAACTGCTTGCAATGTTGGATTAAAAAACTAGATAATTTATTAGTTTTTCGTTGAATTGGATGTTATTTTTTAAAACAAATTGTAAGAAAGAAAATTTCCATTAAAACGTCAATGTTTTATGCGTGGTCTAGAAAATTGGACCGGACCAGCCGGTTCGACCGGTTGGACAGGAAACCGGTCCGATCAAACCGGTTGAGTTGGTCCAGATTTTTTTAAAAAAAATAAATATTTTTTTATTTAAGAATATTTTTAAGTTAAATAAAAATTAAACTATCTAAATATAATGGATATATAAAAGTTATTATTAGTCAGGTGGATTAAGTGTAGTTTTCCCTTAATTTAAGTATTTGGATATTTTAAATTGTCTTAAAATTTAAATAATAATTTTTTTATATAAATTTTATTATATAAAATATTATATATGTTTACAAATGCTAATAAATTAAATACCGGTCCAACCGGTTCAACCATTGGTCGAGGACCACAGAACCATTGAACCAATAGCTTGACCGTTTCTATGACCAGTTCGGTTTTCAGAACCTTGGTTTTATGAAGAAATATGCGAGTTTCATTTTTTATTTTTCATTATTTCTTTTTTTGCAAAATCATCAATAAATGTAAAAACAAAAAATGACGATACTTATTTTATTGAATGGAATTTGTCATGTTAGATAAAAAAGTGACGACACGTGATGTATTCTAATGTGTCGTCACAATGCATATTGCAATAATAACTATTTTTCGAAAGCTTCATTTTAAATACAAACAAAATTAACGACATTTATTTTGTTGCATTGCATGTCGTCACAAGATGTATTAGTGTGATGAATTTATATGTATTGTAATGTATCGTCACAATACAAATTATATAATGATGATTTTCAAAAGCGTCAATGTAGTTACCAAACCAAACGACGACATGTATTTCGTCGTAGTAAAATTCATCATAATATATATTAATATGACGAATAAAGATGTATTTAATGTATTGTGACAAGACACAAGCACATAATGTCGACTTACTCGTAAACGTCATTTTAAATACCAGCAAAAACGACGACACAAAATTTGTTGCATTGTATTTCGTCATAAAAAGTATTACTATGACGAATTTAGATGTATTGTAATTTATTGTCACAAGACACAGTTATATAATGACGAATCACCAGAAAGCGTCATTTTAAATATCATAAAAAACGACGACATTATTTTTGTCGCATTGCATTCCGTCATACTATGTATTACTATGACGAATTTAGATGTATTGTAATGTATCGTCACAATACAAAATTATATTATGACGCTTTATTAAAAAACGTCATCTTACAAACCATTAACAACGACGATATTTATTTTGTCACATGGAATTTCGTCACATTTTATATAAAGATGACGATATTCGATGTATTGTCATGTAAATTATGATTATGTGACAAAAAACAAATTCAATTATGACGCAAGTAGTAGTCGTCGCAGTGTACAATGATGTAGTGACAAATTGTCAAATTTGTCACCATAAGACAATCAAAGGTGACAATTTTTTTTTGTCACACGAATTTCGTCATGATACATGTAATTTCTTGTAGTGTAATTTGTTGGAGCTGGTGTTTCAGTTTTAGCATTAGTAAGTTGTTTAGTATATTTATTGCTCTCTTTTTGTTAGGTTTAGTTATTCTAGAGCACCTTTGTGTGGCTCTCTTTGTTTTTCTTCTTTCCTGTTGCGCCAGTCGGTCTCCGGTTGTATGACTTTGTTATTTTATTTATGAGTATCTCTTATCGTTCTGAAAAAAAACAAAAAAAAAACAAAAAAAAGAAAAAAGAAAAGAAAAAAAGTGATATATACTTATGGTTACAAGGACATAAAAATAAATTACATCTTTATCCTATAGTTGCTATTTCAAGTAGCAACTTTACAATTGTTTTTCTAACCTAATATATTTATAAGCTAATAATATTCACGTGTGTTTGGGTAGGAGTGGAAAATAAACTTCCAAAATCATACATGGCAAAGAAAGAACACTATAAATAAGCAAAAATAGTACTTTATCAACCCATTAATGCGTGGACTCATAATTTCAAAGTAATTAGGTCCACCAAAATTTCGAATATTTGGTGGGTATGTGCAGTGGTGTTGGTGAATATGATAAACCGCCTAACCACCCACGCCACTTCAAATGTAATTTACTACGAAAAACAAAAAAGTTGAAACGAAATAGTTAGGTGGCATGCATAAAACTTTGTATAAGTATGTGCACGCTGAAGCTATTTGGAAACAAGACAGGTTCTTAATCTGCTTCGTTCAACTCAAAACTAAGCCACAAAAATACTAATTTCTGCAGATTATTAGTACATTATCCCCTTCGATCACGAGGATGAAAGAAAAGTTCTCATGCACCATTCTCCAGAGTGAAGCTCTTACCAAGGTTTATTTATTATTCAAGAAGCATTTTGAAATTTGATTCATTTTGTCTCTCTTTTACAATTTCATATACATATGTATATATATTAGTGGTATGCATTAGATAATTTGTCAGAAGTTTTTAATTTAATCACATTTCATGTTATAGTTTATGATAATGTACAATTTCCGTGACCGTGTTTATTTATATCATCTGTATTGATATTGTATTTCAAATGATAAGTTCTACAATAATTATGCATATCACATTTAATGAATTGGAAAATTAATAAATATAAATAATATAATTATAAATTACTTTACTTATATATAAAACACTACACATATTGCATAAAGTATAACGAATAATGTATTTTTGTATATTCGTAGGATCGTGATCAATTAATTAATTAAACAAATATTAAATAATTAATTACTTAGGTTACAGAAATTGTTTTACAAAATTATAAAGAGTCTGTTGTGTCACTAAAACCAATTAGTTTGCTTAATGAGATAATTTTTTTTAAAAAAAAAATAATATTTATTTTAAAATAACTAAGCTGAATAAGAAGTTTTGTTATAAATGTTTTTTATAAACTAGTATTCATCCTGTGCATTTGCACAGATATAAATAAAATATTATAAATTATCTATATGCATATAATATTAAAATTAGAAGTTAGTTAATAATATTATATTTTAAACATACAGTATATAAGTCATATTTATGTATATAATATTAAAATTTTTAAATATATTGCACGACCATTTTGCAAAAGCGATGAAGGGTTTTATTTCATGGGGTTTGATTTTAAAAATATTTGATGTCTCTTTGTAATATTCGAAAAATATTCTTTTATTATTTTATGACTTCAATAGAAAATAGAGATATTTGTAGTCATTCTTAGTTAGTTGTGAAATATGTATTTATATAATACCAAGATATATATAGTATCAAAATAAAAAGTAAAATATTTTGTATTTTATGACATAAAAAGGAGTTAAAAAATTGACATCATCCAAAATGGGACACGTTAAAATAAATCGTGTAACTGAAAGTTACATATTTTTGTTAAATGCCACCTATTTTTATTAAATGTACTCCAATTTTTATTAATTGATGGATATATATATATATATGTTCAACTCCCATTGAGGGATATATATATATGGTAATTATTATATAATAGAATAGTTAAAATAAATTATTACACTTAATTAATGCAACATATTACAATTATTTTCTAATATTTAATGAAATATAAATGGAAAAACAATAATTGAATAGTCTATATATATTATGTTTATGTATAATGTTTGTTGTAAGCATAAATGATCACGATAGTTGATGTAAACTTATCACAGTATCTCTTGGAAACAAGCGCCTACCCTAGAGAGCATCAACAACTCAAGGAATTAAGGGAGGCAAGTGTTGAGAAATACCAGCACCGGTATGTATAAAAGCAATGATTAATTAGTGAATATTTATTTTTACCTTGAAAAATTTGTTTGAAATATATATAGTGAAAATAAAGAGAAATAAAGTTTTGTAACATAAAAAAAAAAAAAAAGGTTTAATAAAACCGTTGTTAGGCTGGTTCATATAAGAATTTGTTAAAAATGTATTATGATAGATATCACTACCAGAAAGAGTTCTATGTTACAAAAGTATTTATGTTATTCCTGTCCATTTCGATGAAATGCCTATTTAACATATACGAGTTTTGCAGGAGTGTTATGAATGTTCCTGCGGACGAAGCTCAATTTCTGTCAATGATTTTGAAAGTGATGAATGCGAAGAAAACGATAGAAGTCGGAGTTTTTACTGGTTACTCACTTTTGGCTACGGCTCTTGCTCTCCCTGTCGATGCCAAAGTAAGCCGATTTACATATTTTCTGTTCAAAAATAGAAAAGAAAATGAACCTAGAAACAATGTAAAAATTATCATCATAGTTTTATTATAAGACAACTTGTTTAGAAAAGCTTTCTAAGTACAATGATCACTAGCAATGATTAAAAGACTAGTCTTTCAAGGAAAAATTTCCAAAAACGGTGAACTTTGTTGGTTATTTTTAAACAAAGATCTATCATATAAAACGTTATCAAGAATGATCCACTAATTTGTCATTTTCATCAAAAATCATATAAAAACCAAGATAGTGCACTAAAAGTGATCGTCATTTTTAGTACACTATGTTGGATATTGTACGAATTATTATTAAAGTGGCAACTTAGTGGACTATTATCGATGACACCCTAATGGACATTATTTGAAAATTGGCCAACATATTGGACTAAAAATGAAATTTAGCTAGTCTTTCAATTATGCTATACAATAAAACTTAAATGGATAGAAAAACGAATAATATATAAGAAAATTTTTTCTGAGTTATATCAACCGAATTTTGGTATGGATCAGGTAATAGCCATTGATCCTGATCGAGAAGCTTACGAGACAGGACGGCCATTTTTTGAAAAGGCTGGTGTCCAACATAAAGTGCACTTCATTGTTTCAGATGCCACGTCAGCTATGAAGAAAATTCTTGATAATGTGAGTACCCGCCAAAGCTCATGATTTATCGTCAAACTATACTTGATCAAGTAGTGTTTGATATTAATTTGACCTCACCACGCACATTTTTTAAGTCGTAACAAAAATGATGCTAATTAATTATCTATTTGCACGCATCCTAATTATATAATAACAAATAATAATTTGATAGTAGTGATGGATGGAATGATATTTTGATACACGTATATGTGATTAATTTGTTAGGGAGAAGAAGGAACATTTGATTTTGCATTCGTTGATGCTGACAAGGAGAGCTATATAAAGTACCACGAGGAGCTGTTGAAACTAGTGAGAGTTGGAGGAATTATAGGATACGACAACACCCTATGGTCCGGAACAGTGGCATTGGATGATGAAGAGCTGAGCCAAGAGTGGAAGGACCGCATTGGCATTAATCGGATCCTCCTTAGGAAATTCAATGCTTTCTTGGCCTCCGATTCAAGGATTGAGTTGGCCCATCTTTCCGTTGGAGATGGCCTCTCACTCTGCAGGCGCATCAAATAGGAGCTTTTAATTCAAAATTAAAGTAATTAATTATCACAAATCATATCTCAATCAAGTCGTTTGCGAACATCAACTATTTTCACTTAATGTTTTCTTGTATGTTCTTTTTTCCTTTTTCTGTGTCTAATATTATTATATAATGATAAACGTTTTTCTACCAAGGATATTAGTGGGCAGCTCTACAACTCTCAAACAAATTGAAATTTAATGATAGGATGCACGATTTTCCTTGAATCCATGTTCAAAATGTTAGAAACTCGCCGGAGAGACAATATTCGGTTGCGTGCGAGATCACTACCAAAACACACAAGACACAAAACAAAATTCACGCGAATACTAAAGAACACGCACTTGTTTGGTGCTTTTGAAGTGACACATTTTCTTGTATTATTCTATTGCTTATATAGGGGAACTAGGTAAGTCAATAAAACCCGCACGGTCGGGTTACCCGCGGGTTACCCGCATTTGCGGGTTCGGTAAACCCGAGATGATAGAGTTTCGGGTTACCCGCATTTTCGGGTAGGGTCGGATACGGGTATAATAGAAAATTCCGTTACCCGACCCGATTACCTAAACCGTTTACCGATGCTGGACTGAGATTTCCTATACACCCTGACCTACTCGAATTGAGCAAGTTATATCGCTTTCCCCTTAACTAATTTCCTCCCAACGCGATACGCTATCTCGTTGGTTTTATCATGACTTGTCGAGCTCACCTCGGTGAGTTTGACGCAAAACTATGCTTCTATTGTCTCAATCCCAATCCTCGAACAATACAAGCATAAAATCTTATACATACATACATATATATATATATCATACTGTAAATTTAAATTAAATTATTTCTTATAATTTGGTTAATGGTTTAAATTTTATTTTATTTTTATCAATTTTCCTTTTAGTTGTACAATATAAAATTTAAATGCTTAATTTTTAAATATTATATTATTAACTAGACTATAAAAAATAAATAATTATGTCTCAATATTTATTCCAAAAATAATATAGATTTTTTTATAGTCATTTTATTGCTAAACTTAGTTAATAAATTGTTAATTACATATATTTAATTGTGTAATTATTTTATTTAATTTTTTTACACATGAAACTGGTCGGGTCAGGTTGAAACCAAGCAAAACCCAAATTTAAGAATATGGGTTACCCTTTTACCCAACGAAGACCCGATAACCCGTTGGGTAAAACTCAACCCGAAACCAAAGTTCACTAACAGGTAACGGGCCGGGTACGAGTTGGGTAAATTATATGCGGGTCGGGTTCAAATTTGGCAAAACCTGCACCCGACCCGACCCATTTACATCCCTAAGGGGAACACAACGAGCTAAATAAGACCTACAAATCAAGATTACCTGGAAACTATGATCAAATAAATATTCACACACCTATTCTAGGGAAGCAACTAAGGAAAACAAATAATAAACTAATCGAGGTGCACAAGGATTACATCCTATAATAAAATATATCCTAACAATAATTAAAGATATTCTAACAATCTTCTGCTAAGCCTTGTACATATTGTTAACATTGATAAGGCTAATTTTAGAGAGAAATTATTCATGGAATTTGGTCCTTCCAAGCGCCTTCGTCAGAATGTCGCCCAGTTCTTCGCTCCTGATGAACTCAATGTTAATCAAGCCTTCCTCTGCAGACTCACGGACAAAATGACATTTCAGTCGAATGTGTTTGCATTGCCCATGGAGTACTAAATTTTTATTAATGTAATTGTAGACTTGTTGTCCACCCTCAGTATTGGCGCTCTTGGTGTTGATCAATGCACCTCAGCCAGCACCCGAGCGAGCCACAATGCTTGACTAGCATCGTTTATAGCTGTTATGTATTCAGCCCTCAGAACTTGATTGTGCCACCACCTTCTGCTTCATGGATTGCCAGGTGATCGGCTGACGTTGAGGAAGAAAATCACTCATGTTGTGCTCTTGCTAGCATCAACTTCCCCAGCTATCAGTAAAAACCGTCAACTAAGCTTCCTCCTCCTGCTTCCTCCACAATCAGATTCTTCTTGTCACACCGGTCATACTCACGAAATTTGATCTCAATTGGAGTTTGTTTGCCTGCTCAATTTGTCATTCAGAATAATTTTAGCCCAAATTTGTTGTTATTTATCTAGGGGCTTCCTCCTCCTCCTTCCTCCACAATGGTGTAAGTTTTAGTTCGGTGATTCACCGTTGGATTTATCTCATTAATACGGTCGTAACCACAAATTTTTAGTTCAATGATATTTCATTTGCCTAGTCAATTTTTCGTCCAAAATAATTTAGGTTGTTCTATTTTTAGCTTAATTATGTTGTCGCCTCACGTTAGTTTCAAGTATTTGATCCAGCGTTGAATTCTTTGCGTTGAAACGGTCATATATTCTAAATTTCAGACAAAATGGAGTTTATTTGCTTAGTCAATTTTCCGTTCAAACTTATATGCACAAACTACATTTTCGGCCCGTGATTAGCCCGTTCCAAGCCCGTGATAATCTGGCCTTTATCCTGCCAGTAATGAGTAGTTTATCTCATATTATTAATTTTTTGTATTAATGTACGAAATTTGATGTTTATTAAAAAGGTGGACCTCTACTGAAAAATAATATAATAGACTAAACATGAAATATTACCGTGCATAGCACGTGAGCTTTACTAGTATCATATAAATAAGAGTACAAATTAAAGTATTGATATTTTAACTCAATGATTAAATTCTTTTCTATTCGTATATAGATTATAATCTTTTTATTTTTCAATGATATTTTATCCGGTATTGGTTCTCGGAATTTCCAGTACAGTCCGGTATATTGTATTGATTTATGGATTAATTAGTGGGCGGTATCCGGTATTTTGTCAAATTTGGGAACAAAATAGTTGAAGCTCTATGGCAAATCAGTATGATATGGTCCGAGATGAATGACTCCTGTCTTTCAAAGAGTTCTTCACGATTGCAGCGTAAATGCGTTTAATTCGGTCCGGTCCGAGCTTCAGTGTTCGCCGGTACCTGCAAATACGCTGGAATTGCTCCGGCGCAAGACCCTCCGACGCCTAAGTCAATATTTCGGAATAAGAGAATTGTAATATGTATTGGATGTGATAGGGATTGTCATAAATGATGTCTTACCTTTTGTTTTGGGATTCAATGTATATATAGTATTTAACTGTACGGATTACCTCCTTGCTCGATGTCAATGCATATGGGTCGACTTCCGGGTCTAAGCTCGACCACCTGCGTGGGTCGACACCCCTTTGACCTTTGGTCTATATTCGACCACTCCGTGTTAGACCCATGGAAGAGATGTACGATATTGGCCTTTGGTCTATATTCGATCGGTCCATATTCGACCGCTCCTATGTTTGACCGCTCCATGTTCGACCCATGGAACCTTTTGGTCTTACTCGACCGGTCCATGTTCGACCGCTCCTTTGTTCGACCCATTCACGGGTCTTTATCCCGTTAGACCAAGTAAGTATCATAATCCCTATCAACTACTCCTTCCTAATTACCAGTGTACGAAATAGAATTCGTGTAGTCGTAAATATCAATGCCCGAGCCTCATTGTCGTTATCGTGAAAATATCGGATACACTCTTAATTCACTCGGTATTATGCTCGGTTGCTTTATCGGTTAGAGAGCCATGATTTGAAATTCGGACAACTTTTTGACCAATGTCTTCTTCTTTCAAGACCATGTGCTCCACCTACCAAATCAACTACCAAATATTATGTGGCTCATGTTCATTCTCCTCCTTCCTAGGGTTTCTCATCCTCCTACAAATATCTCATCTATCTATTTTCCACAAGGTTTTTTTCCCCTAAATTTCTAATTGACGGCACAAGAGGCACCCGACTTCACCCGGTCAGTCCCGTCGATTTCACGGTCTCTCTCTCGCCGCGTCGACTTCTTCCCATCGACCCCGTCGATTTTTCGGCCCTCCTCGTGCCGTGCTGGCTTCGCTTCGTCGGCCCCGTCGATTTTCCGATCCTCATCTCACTCCACCGATTTCACCTCGTCAATCCACTCGACTCTCTGATTATGGGTAAGTTCTCTTACATTTCTCTATCTCTTGGTTGTTGTGTGTTGTAGTCTTTTTATGTTCGGTTTCTTAGCTAGCTTTCCGAGTTTGAGCCAAAATTAGAGTTCACCGGGTCCTTATGTAGACTACTTTTCGTACCCTTGTGTAGATATGCCTCCCGATTCTCCTTCTAAGGCCGATACCTCTCATTTAGTCGATAAGGTCGAGAGCGTGTTTACGTGGGATGAACTCCAAAAGTTTGGAGACTCGTTTCACGATGTCCCTTTCGATCTTGCGGATATCCCCTCATTTTCCGACGTGCTCGACTCGATTTCGGGTCGTGGCGCTTCTCTTGTGACCGGCTCGGGAAGACCCGTCTCTCATTCGCGTGGCTCGGGGAGTCGCGCCTCTCCTTCGGCCCACTTGAGTGGACATGCTACCCACCCTATTGGTGCGGGTAGTCATATCTCCTCTTCGACCGACTCGAGTGAGTTTATCGATCCCGAGAGTAGACCTAGTGTTTTTTCCCGCATGTCTTCCGGCGACATCGTGGAATTCAAAGAGCTATGTGAGTTGCCCACCGGTTGGGAGTTTGTGAAACCGGCTCCTTCGGATAGGTATGATGGGCCGCCTTCTGGATGTTACACATTTTTCAAGGACCAAGTTGGTGTTGGCCTCCGATTCTCCGGACTTGATCCTCTTTTAAGCCTATGCCGAGTGTTTAATTTTTCATTGAACCAACTTCCCCCTAACACTATTCAGACCATGATAGCCTTTGCCATTTTGTGCCATCACCGGTTGGGGCGATTGGATCCCGACTTTTACTTCTATTGCTATGACTTGAGGTTTCAAAAGTCGGGTAGGACGGGGCGTCATTATACGCTTTTTCATAATGGGGCCGAGTTTATCTTGGAACTTCCCTCTAATATCCCCTCATGGAAGACGAGGTTCTTTTTTGTCCGGCCTCCATCTAAGGCCTTCTAATTTGAGCTGGAGTGGCTGCATCAACTTCGTGCCCCGCCACGTAGACCTAAAAAAAATTCCCCTTGGAGATCCGTTGTTCAGGATTGGAACGAGAAGCCTATCGCCATAGTACCTCATACCTCCTCGCTTGCCCTTCGCCATTATGCCAGTTTGACCCTCGAGGATCCATCCCCTTCTAATAACATAGGTACCAACCGTTT